CGTCTTTTTATCTATATATATATATATATATATATATATATATATATATATATATATATATATTTGAATGGGATGTGTTGTTATACACAAAATCATTGCTGTAAGGTTTTAAACGTAATGATTTAAGTGTCATTAGTATCCTATGACAGCTGTAACAATTTAGTAGGCGTGTACTGTTGTGAAACAAGAGAACGCCTCTGATCAAACAAACTGTTGCATCCACTGACGTTCGATCACATTAAATTTACTAAACTAAAAATAATGGATGGAAGATATCAGTTATCCCAGAGCTGGTGTTTTGTACCCTCTGTTAAGAATAGCCTGTGATATTTGTAACGTACAGAAATAGTCCGATCTGTTATTACAACTCAAGTAAACATGTAAAACAGGTTTCCTGTTAGTCTATAACTCGTCAACAAAAAATGCATCGAAATGCAGAGATTGATGTCACTCGTGCGGATCGGAAATTAATAAGAATCTGTCTGGGCTGTGCCCTAAAACCATTGGAATTAATAAATGAGTCGATAGGGAGTTTTTAAATGTCATATTATGAAAGCAAAACTGTCAAAACACGTGCGGAACAGACGTGAAATAGGTAAAATAACTGATTGATGGTAAACTGCTGCTCAAACTCGCTCATGAAAGCAAATCTGGTCAACAGTTTCAGATGACTGAACAGTTGATCTAGAGGCTGTTATAAATGAACAGGAGCTTTGAAGTATGGTAAATAAATACTGGGTCGCGATATCCAAAACTCGCGCGGTGCTCCGATTGCATGCGCGAGCCGCTCCATCTCATCTCCCCCGTCCGAAAACGCACACTCTCTCGCTAACTGTTGTGGATGTGACCGATGTGACGGCACGAAAATCACTAAACACTCATGCCAGAGCGGCTTCCTATGACCTGCGCCATATTTGAACACCCCTAGGTACGTTAGCATTCTGAAGAAAAAAAATGAAACACGCCCGGATAAAACTTGAGAAATGTAGTAGAGGGGAAACTACGAAGTGTTACAGCCCTCGTCCCCCACTTACCTCGTGCCTCCTGGGTCACCGTGAATACGAGTAAAGTCAGCAGTAACGAGCGGCTAAGCAATGTTCCCACGTCCATCGTTGTAGAGAGCATTCTTTAGGACTGGTCAGTTTTTTTCTCACACATTCAACTAGTCGGGTCTTTGCTTCGAGAAGGGGAGCGTTCTGATTGGTCACCACGGAGAATTATGCTCCGCCTACATTGTTCACGCGTTACCCTGTCTCAGTTCTGCCGGGGAGTTCGGCTGTGCCTCAAAATGACTGTGAATCTGTCCTGTGAATGTAGTTAGGAAATTTATCTGATCATCCCAGATGCAGTTCTTATGATCAGGGTTTCAAAAAAAATTCAGTCAAGCTAATCGTAATGAGATACTCATGGCAGTAATTTTGCATTAAAAAAAAGGCAGCAAGAAAGAGCCTAAGATGGTTTGCTTGGCTGGTTTCCACAGGGCATTGTATTAAGAAATCTTTTACTATTATAGTAAATGTATTAATAAATAATAATAATGCATTATATTTATATATTATTATGTAATACATATATAATACATTTAATTTATTATTATTAATTTATAATAAAATATATTTACATCATTAATATAACATGCAATTATATTTTCTGTGTAAATGCACTTATGATGCCTCTATGTAGCATTAAACAATCTAAACACTGTAAATGCACCTTTTTGTGATACATATGTTGCTTTATATGCAGCTTTTGTACTGCCCTGGCAGACATATAATAAGAAAATAAAAAGGCTTTAATCATAAGCTTTAATCATTTTGAATCATAAACATATATGGCCAGAAATGAAAGAACTATATGTCCTCAGAATGAAATGAGCCAGGCCAGACACAGCCTGAAGGCAGATATTGATTATTAGTAGCTATATCTGCAGTTAGTACACTGCAGCAAACTTCTCTTTCCTGCTGGTCTGAGTAATACTGACAGCTCAGAATACAACTAGTTTGTGCTGCAGACATAGAAAACACAAGCAATGACATGATGGCATACAAAAGAATGAGCTCAACGAAGATTGGTTATTAAAACTAAGTTTAAACTGTTTTAGATCAAACTTGGCAATAAAAACTTGAGGAAAATTTTATAAAATTTGAGGTAAACAAACAAAACAAATCAAACAAACATACAAACAACAACAACACTAAAACATTATTTGTGCCAAGCTTAGCTCTATAAATAATTAATATCACATTATACGTTTATAGTATCTGAATCAAACCGTTTTAAAAGTTTTTTAAACCACATATCCTGTCTTTTTATGTCTCCACTCTGCCCCCTTGTGACCTAATGTATATACCAAAAGTTTGGGGTCAGCAAGTTTTCATTTTTGAAGGAAATTAATACTTTTATTTAGTAGAGGCATATAATGTTAGTCCTTTTGAACTTCATATTCATCAAAGAATCCTGAAAAAAAGTTTCTGGGTTTCCACATGCCATATTCAGCATTTTAGAATGATTTTTTGAAGGATCATGTGACACTAAAGACTGGTGTAATGATGTTGAAAATTCAGCTTTCCCACCACAGAAATAAATGACATGTTAAAATATATTCAAATAGAAAACAGTTATTTTACATTGTAATAATATTTCACATTCTTACTGTATTGTTGATTAAATAAATGCAGCCTTGTGAGCATAAGAGATTTCTTTCAAAAATATAAAAATAGTGTAATATTAACTTTAAGAAGAGAAAGACTTTAATAAGAGAAAGACGAGCCACACTTATAAAACAAAACATTTATTAACTCAGCACCATTCAAATATGAAAAAAAGAACAGGGGAATTCTCTCTATTATTGTTTCATACTTAAATTTGACATGAAGATAAACAACACCGTTACTTACTTTCTAGTTTGTCTTTCTAAATATGTCATAGAAAGATTAAAAACAGTGAAGAGTTATAATATTGTTGTGGCCACTGTCAACTTTTGCAATTAATGCCATTTAAAGTATGTACTTGTTTTAGTTTTATGTGTTTTACATTACAAATGAGACATTTTGCCTCTTTTAAATACTAGTTTAAATGCAAGTTCACAGAATGGAGCTTCATGGGTGTGAAAAAACAAACAAACTAGGCCTATTAAAAAAACACCCAAGAAATTATTAATACAGTGAATTTAAACAACTTCCAAAACACCCTCATTGGATACAGTATATCCAATTACTGATGTCTAATTATTGGTATTTAATCTGATTAAAAAGATCAGAATGGTCTCGAATTTGTAGTTAATACATCACTCACTCACTCACTCACTCACACACACTCACTCACTCACTCA